AAAAAACGACACTACATCGACCAAAAACATCATAGACACGATACCATCATCATCATCAATAAATTTTACTATATTATATTTTTTTTAAGTCTTAAGGTATACACAATTATTATATTTTCTTATAATTCATATCTTTGTCTCTTTTTTTCTATTTCTTCCTTCTTTTATTCATTCTTTTTTCCATTTCTTTGCTCCCCTAAAATCCATCTCCTACCTTCACAGCAGTGGGGAGTGAACAGAAATGCTGACTAACAGGAGCTCTGGTGGATAATGTAGTATTTGGGGTTCCAATAAGAGACATTGTTTCCATGTAATAAATCTTAATTATTGGGTAAAATTTTCTTTTATCTTTTAAATGTGAAGAAGGTGCATATTTGTGTCCTTTATTGACAATACCGGGATGTCTCGACTATATTTAAGAACCTGGGAGCCCTAATATCTATCATCCTTTCATAGATTGAGTTTTTAAAGATATAAAAATAGTTATAAAGGAGAAAATTCTAATTCCCCGTCATTCTTGACGGCATCATAGACACGATACCATCATTAGAGAACTGCACGGGCTGTCCGTAGCCCGACCCGACCCGCATCAAAAAAAAATTTCTCGGGTTCGGGCTCGGGTCGGGTTGTAAAAGCTGTCCGACCCGAAAACCCGACCCGACCCGAAAATATATATAATAATATTAATATCTTAAATAGTTAGTATAATTTATAATATTAATTATAAAATCATATTATTTAATATTTATCACATTTTAGGATTAAAATGTCAATCATATTAACATGTCATGTCATTATTAATTATTATTTTATAAACCTAACAACCGGATACCAAACTATTTTATTACTAAATTGTGTTTCTCGTAAATTACAAGATAAGACATATTTTATGTAAGTTTTATTTATTATTTATCTAGCCTATACATTGTCTTTTTTAACATTTGTTTTAACCCTTCACTACAAAGGTAGAAAAAACTCCCTTAACTACAAAGGTGGGGTCTATTTTACCCCAAATTTTGATTAGATATATCTCAAAACATATTAAAAATTGAGATCTAAAATTTTGAGTATATATTTAAAAAATATTGGAGATAATAAATATAAAATCTTAGATTAATATTTACTTCCAAAAAAAAGTTAGACAAATTTTCCTAAATTCGTGCCTTATCAAGTCAATTATTTGTACCTGATAATAGTCAATTATAATTTTGTTAATATATTATGTAATATTCAACTTCTTTATTGATTATAGAACGGTTGTCCTACTGTAAATAGGGAGTGATTCTTAATAATATTTAATTAATATTAACAAATTCGGAAGTATTTAAGTTATGCTAAATTGTAGTTTTAATCTCCATGATATTTAGCGCCATCTATAATGTTACATTTTATTTTAAATAGCATTATATTTCAAAGTGGAAATGTAAATGTTTTGTCTTAATTGATGTCTAATATATTGTTCTTTCTATATATCTATAATTTATCTATCTATCATAGCAATTTTAAGCCAATTTAGATCATATTAGCAAAATGGATTTAATCTCCTACAAATCATGGAAAGCATTTCAGAAGTATTTTGAGGCAATAGGCAGGAAGGAACATTAGTATGAAAAAAATGTTTGCAGATAATCATACAAGAGCTAAGGAATTCAAATCTATAATATATATATTCAATAAAAATCATCATAGCTTAACCATATCAAACACGCATTCATAAACCAAATCGAACCGCCATTTTCAAAAAAAAACAATACTGAATTACAAAACATATAATAATATAAATATAATTACAATATTAACATAATTAGATATATTTTTTAACAGACACCATATCGAGCAAAACCATCATAGACAAGATACCATCATCATCAGTAAATTTCATTTTATACTTTTATACATTGCCTATGAGATAACCTTAAAAAACTTATTTATAAGGTTATCTCATAAGCAATGTAATTTAAAATTTTAATAAATACTATTTTTTTTAGATTCCTGCACAAAAAACAAACTTACATAATAAATAGATATAATATTAAATAAGTTTTTTAAGGTTATCTCATAGGCAATGTAAGTTAAAATTTTTATAAATACTATTTTTTTAGATTCCTGCACAAAATACAAACTTACATAATAAATACATATATTATTAAATAAGTTTTTTAAGGTTATCTCATAGGCAATGTAAGTTAAAATTTTTATAAATACTATTTTTTTAGATTCCTGCACAAAAACAAACTTACATAATAAATACATATAATATTAAATAAGTTTTTTAAGGTTATCTCAATGTAAGTTAAAATTATTATAAATACTATTTTTTTAGATTCCTGCAAAAAACAAACTTACATAATAAATACATATGTAGTGTTGTTAAACGGCTCGTTTTGAACCGATTTTTGAAAACGGCTAACTAAATATTTTAGCCGGGAAAATATTGCCTAAGCCTCGAAAATCGCTAATTGAGGTCTACACCTTTGTGCCATCTGTGATCTTTAGGCTTACATAATATTATTCTGGATAAAATATTGAGTTCGCCGTTTTTAAAAATCGACTCAAATCGAGCCGTTTAGCAAAATTAATTGCCAGGTCTCCAAATTGGAGCCCAAGTAAGGAGCATTTCAAATGTATTCCCAACTTGCTCATAGAAATGACTGTTGAAATGTTCACGCGCTCCATTCAAGACGACGCAAGATAAGCTAAATTTTTTTCGGGGTTCAACAAATAAGCTTTTGAAGATTTTTTTTTATCATGTCAGAAATTTTGAACAAAAATATAGGAAAAATTTTAATATTTTAGGCTAAATTTCAAAAATTTAGCTTGATAATTCTCATAAAAAAAAACTTCATTTTTTTTTATTCATTTTTAGATAAGTGGATTGTGATGCCCTGGCTTTTGTCATATTTGATAGAAGAGAAGGATATAAGTGGTTTATTCTTAAATCAAAATTTTATTTTAAAAATAAAAAATCGATATATTTTACATATAAAAATATACCTATAAAAGCTGGGCAGGCCGGCGATTTTTTGATCAAATCAAAAATCGCTGTCACAAAAAAAATTACGGCCTCGCCGCCGCAAAGGCTCACATCGGTGGCTAAAAATTTTTTTTTTAATAAATAACTTTCATATTTTATACGTTTTTGCTCTGATCGGGCAAACATCGCTTTGCATGTTGCCATGACCTAAACATCGGTTATATGGAACTCGCTAAATAATATCCTGATACCCGTTCAAGTTCGCGATTCCAATCGTTAAAGTTAAATATCCCAATCCAGGTAGCTAAGTATATTAATTAATAAAATCTAAATAATAAATGTTTTGAAAAGCATTATCTCAAATTATTTTAAAACTTATAATCAGATCTCGTAGAAGGAACTATAAGTTTTTTCCCCCATAATTTTAAGAAACAGTTGAATTTTCATCTATCTTTACAAGAAAAAGGGCTTATATTATTAAACTTGGTATTACCTTTCAAGAGGTAAATAGAAAGGCCTTTAAGAGTAAATGATAATGAGATGGATTTTAAAAAAATCTTACATTACGATTTCCTGTTTCCGATATGCCAGTATACTAATATATAGGTATTTTAATTTACTTTTTTATTTCAAAAATTCTCTTTTCATACCCAAGATTTCAAAAAATAAAAATAGATAATAGAACAAAATTGTGCATCGTCGGAATTTATTATCCAATTCAAATATCTTAAGATGACATTTAGTAAATTATGGAGCTTGAAAACCAGGAGGAAATATCATATACAAGTCATTTGACGAGCTTAGTAGATACACATTCTACAAAAAAGTCACTAATTCCATTTTGAGTGTTGAACCAAAATGCCATTCGCATGATACAGATGTTCTACATTTTTAGAGAGAGAAGAGGATTGAATTTTCGAATCTTTCCACGCTGGCTAAAAAAAAATTCGGTGTTCGGGGGAAACTAGAACATCAGTGCAAACAGTTTTCTTTACTTTTGGATTGAGGAATGAATTCAAGGAGATCCTCCTTATATCCGGCCAATTTAAAATTATTTTTATATTATATGATAGCTATAAAATTACAATATTGAGCTTGAATTCATAATTAGTATTTTTTTAATAGGTAAAAATATGCCGATATTATCTATGGTGTATAATTTATTTTTAATTTTATTTTTCTTAAAAAAAATTCAATTAGCAATTTAAAGTTAGCGGTTAAAAAGAGGCGAGCCGCCAGCCGCCAATTAGATTTTTATAACTCACGCTGGCATCTATAATTTTGCGGCGCACAGGTCAAATATAAATACTTAAATACCTTATAAGATAGCACTTAAATAACAGATACTTTTAAGATACTTTTTTAAAAATAAATTTTACCCATCAACCGCTATGTTCGGCCCTCGTACATTTTTTTTAATTAAAACTTTTAACTAAGAAAATACCAAGAAAATTATTAATGTTTGAAACTCCTTCAAAAAAAATATTTTATACAAATCATATTTATATTCTTAATATTAAAAAAAAAATTTGGTAGAACTGTAATTTTCTTTAAAAAATTTTTTTTTCAGTAACTAAGACTCTTACTAAATTGGTTCAAACTAGCCCCAGTCTATAAATTTATTATAATTAAGGTTCAAAAAAAAATAAAAACGATTTTTGATGACCATATCCATAATCTTCTTCTTCTCCGTTTAATGGTGATTTCCAGGTTCACCCAGGTTGGCCAGTTTGCCCTCTGATTTAATTTATCAGGAAATTTTGTAGCAAGGTTTTTACAATCGGATGCCCTTCCTGACATCAAAACCTTTAGGTGGTTTAATACGCCCGGTCGAGGAGACGGTGATCTTATTCTAGATCCAAACCGCGGGGAGCTTTAGACCTCCATTAGCCGCCAATTGCCACTCCCCCGCCACGAACCTTCTTAAATCTTTTAATATACCAGAGTTAATTATCAAGAAAAGGAAATGGTTATTTGCCAATATATTATATAAAAAAAAAATTTATTTATATTTTACTAATAAATATAATCAATATATATTTGGCATTACAATGGTAAATTACAATTATCACAAAATTATGTTACAATTTATATCAGAATTTAATTCACCTTTTTTTTTTTTACAAAACTATGATACAAATATTATTTTAATAATATTTTGTTCCATCTGTTGAAATATTTTAAAAAAAAATTGAATTCCCAAAAAAAGTTTAGGTTGCGGATGCGAAACAAAATTTCATGCATTGAGAGTTGAAATTTTTGTCAACAATTTGGGATTCCGACGTGTTCTCATTGAGCCACTCCGAAAAGCCTTTTGATATGTCCAGTGTTAAGGTTACCTCGTTGAAAACGTCCGACCTTTCTTTCTAAAAGCGTAATACGAAGTTAGCTTAATAAAGCAGTTTATTTCGGGCTTTTGACCGGTTAAATATGATTCGGTTAATTGACCGGTCAAATATGGTCAAATTCAATAAAATATTTTTAAGATAGTATGTGATGTGTAAGTTATAACAAATATATAAAATATATAGTCAATGCATATAATTAAATTTGGTAATATTTTGATTCATTCATAAAATATCATTTCGTCTTCACTTTCTGTGTCAGAACCGTTTTCTGGCTCAGATGAATAATAATTTTCTTTTATGTTTTTAACTAATCGTATATTATGAAAAACGCTTAGTCAAAGTTTTTAGTCGATTTCGGTTCTTTGTACGAATATTACCCTAGATGGAACAATTTCTTTCTAAAGAAAAGCTGAACTTGAAAGAGTTAATAAGATATTTGGTACTTCCATTACAGGGCAAGGTGGACAAAGTCCCTTCCACCAGCTTGATGCCAAAAATTTCTGATAAATAGTTATGGCTGCTATCGCATTGCACATATTTTTGATTATAAATGATATCATTTTTACAGCCAAAATTTATTATATCACCTAAAATGGTTCGATTCTCACCACCTTACAGAATTCCTACTTCTTGTTATCATATCTCAAGCTTCGTCTAATTCGATTTTCGTAAGATATTGTCGATATTAGGGATCTAATAAGTAGACAGTATTATGAGCAGTTATATTTTGATCGTTTTTTTCTCATTTCAAATATAATTTTTTTTTCCCCATTCTGATGGAGAAAATATTAGGTCTTGGCCTGATGGACTAATATGTTGTTCCAAAAATAACTTATCAATCTTAATTGGAAAAATGTGAATTTATGCCCTTAGATTTCTTTAGAATGACGTAGCTATCCGGTATATTTAAAAAACTTAAAATTTCTATATTCAAATCTTCGTCTAAGAATATGATCCCTTATTTCTCTTGGGCATATATCGCAAAAACAGTTTCTTCAAAGATGGACACTTTTAAAGCACTTTTTCAAATTTATCGTTGCATTCAATTTTTTAAAGTCTTTGTTAAACTAATTGATGATATGACATATTGATTTCTGTAGCAGGTGCACTTGGTATGTCTATTTTTGAAAAAAATTAACAATATTTTAATGATGGATATTTTGGGAATTAAATAGCTACTCGTTTAAGATACAATATTTAAGAGTATCTGACCATATATAACTGGTTGCATATACTTCAGTCAATTGAACTCTTTTGATTGGTCAATTGACAAGCATTTCAACCTGGTTTATTTAGACAAACATTTTACTCATTTTAAAAATCAATATATTATGCTGATGTAAATAAGTTAGAGATATGCAAATCCCAGCCAAGACCATCATAAATTTTTGTACAAGTTCCCCAGCCCATTAAATTATTTTTACCCAGCCTGGCCCACTAAAAATTTTCTTAAAATTTATGAAAGGTTTTGTAAGAATTTTACAGGCCTTTTTTACTATCTATATCTTTTTTTTCACCAACATCAATTAAGGTTCTATTGGGTAAATTGCTATCCATTTCCTTCTGCATTTATAACTCAAGTCTGATATCTGTATTGTGTACTTGGACTTCATAAATAATAGGTTGTCAGATATCCCTAGTTCCGAAATTTATTTAATCTATTGTGAATTTATTGTGTTATTTATTTAGTTTCAATAATTTAGTTAGGCAGCTCTTAAAATGCAAAGAAGTAAGCATATTGTAATTATTTAAAATATTTGTTCAAAATTTTAATGCCTGGGCTATTCTATTATTATTTTATAACAAATAAAAGATTTGTGCCTGATTTTTTATGTGCAAATTATCTGGTTTGGCCAAAAAAAAATTTGATATATTGCCTTACTCATTTTAATTTTTTAAATTTGCCCAAGCTGGGATTTGCAGATCTCTAAAATAATCAAAATTCACCTCAGTAAAACCAATTTTATTGAATAAATCAATGCTGATCAAATTTTCATAAGAAATCTTCACAAAATAATGGGAAATCTCCAAAACTTCAATGCCATATTTAAGAATGAGCAAGATAGCCTCTAATCCTAAGCCCTTATTTCTTGAGTAAGTATCAGCAATCATAATATTTATTTCAGCCTGCTTAATGCATGAATTGTGAAGATTATTACAATTATTTTTTATTATGTCATTGTTTGTTATAAATAAATTAATATCTCCAACCATAGAATATATCTCATGCAATTTAGAAGTGTTACCACAATTTAAAGAACAATTACTACTATTAAGTGTAAATTCGTCATTATCATCTCCTTTATTAAATGTTTCATCGGTATAAAAATCATTGAGAGGTTTATGGGTACTATCAAGAGGAAGGTTTATTGATTTGAGATCATCATTTAAATCACTTATGGGTATGGCTTCTGTTTCATCACGCTTAATAGTTCTATTATTAAAGGGTAGACATGAGGAATTGGATCTCTCACTCTTAAATCCATTACTTTTGTTATGATACTTTTCAGCATTTAATATAATAAAAGTGCATTCTATATTATAAATAATAATAATAATAAAATTATATATTAACTATTATCATCTTCTTGCCAGGTTTGGCACATTTCATATTCTTTTTCTAATGATAAATATTCACTGCCAGTTTGTTGCCTTAATTCAGAATTTTTCATCCATTCATGATATCTAGATATATTCTTATTGACAAAATAATTATTTATATTTACTACTTTGGTACGTGCTCCTTTTTATATGGAATTAGAATTACCTTTTTACCAAAAATATAGGTAAAACGATTCTTCTTCATCTCATATGTTATTAACCCAATTCTTTCTCACTAGGTAAATAAATTTTTTTCCCCCATAGTATCACTTTTAGAGACTATATTTCCACTTTTAAACATAATAAACTTATTCACTATTAGTTAAATTAAAATTCAAAAATATTATAATTATATAAATCTATATTAATAACATATGAAAAAAATTAAAATGACATTTAAAAAAATTAAACAATTTTAAAATAATAAATATCAGTTTAAATATGAGGGGGTAGACATAATGGAGATCAGAGAAAACTAAGATAGTTGTCTCTAAACACTACTTAATTTGATTTTAACATTTTAAAAGAGGATACATGATCACCATTAATTTGAGAAATATTTTTACTTAAAATCTTCGAAAAATATTACCCTAAGGGGATGAGGGACCCATAGGTAGAAATAACTATTGAAATAAACTAATCAGAAATAAATTTTGACTTTTCAGTTGTAATAATCGGATCAATATTTTGGTTAGAGGAAAACTGTAAGTAAAATCCTAAATAAGGTTATCTCCTCTAAACTAAGAAATTTTTGCAAACCCATTATTGGCGGATTAAAATTTTTCCACTATTCTTTACATTTATGGGAAGGTCACAACCAAATCTATATCTTTTGCTCATCCTTACCTCCTCGTCGGATACAAAAGATTGGCATTAGGGATAGCTTCAAGTCATTCATGGCCAGAGTTTTGGAGTGTCTTCAAGGGAGGGTTAATTACCATCAATTTTTAAAATTAGCCAGAAGGGGGTTAAGATATTCTCAATGTGTCAAGAACTGTTGAAGGGATGAAAGGCATACATTTTTCTTCCATATGTAACAGCCAGTTTTAAATAGAATATCTCTGTCTCTCCGCTTACTTAAACCTCTTCACATTAAAGATTAGAAGAACAGACTGATAAAGAAATTAAATGAAGTGGAGGAAACCCCAAACTACACTTGTTTATCGGAAGTTGTGCATGGCCCAATAAAGTTTAAGATAATCTCAAAAAAGTTTTTAATTTTCATGTCAATTGAAATGGAGAAAAAGTTTAAGAGGCCCTAAAAAGATGTAAAATTTTGGGAAGCCATAGCAATTTCCTTATTAAATATATAGATTGATTGGGGGAATATTAGTAAATATTGCTTTCAATTTGGTTAAGGAAATGGCTGTTTCCTCTAGGCTTGCTATTATGAGGATAGCACTATTTAACAGTGATCTTAAAAGTGAGATTGACTCCCAATTAATTCTTAAAACAATTAACATCTGATGGGGATCTATATAAAAAACTAATTTTTGTTTTATCCATATTTAAAACAAGACATATAGTTTTCGATTCACATTAATTAAGAACTAATAGCCTCCAACATGCTCTGTTTTAAATAATTCCTTATTTTTCTGTAAAAAAAACTTGTAACTAAAAAATATGTAAATATTAATCAGATATGTGAAAACGTTATATAACATATTTAAAGTATGTGTAGCTCCAAAATTTAGTTTGGTAGAAAAATATAACAAATGAATTAAATAAGAAATAAGCTTGTTGAGTTCAAATTCATATAAATCCAATCTCTATGTTTGATATAAGAATTAAAATATATATTATCAAAATCTCATGAAATCTGTTTTAGAAGGTAATTACGATTAGTGTTGTTAAACGGCTCGATTTTAGCCGATTTTTAAAAATGGCTAACTCAACATTATGGCCAGGAAAATATTGCATAAGCGTAGAGATTTTTAGGGACCAGGCCTGTGGTCGGAAAAAAGGGAGTTTGGGTGCGAAGCCACTAAAAAAAATATTATTTAGCCATAGATGTTCAATCCTATGTGCCATCTATGAGAAAATCTTTAGGCTTGCATAATATTTTTCTATATTTAGCCGTTTTTAAAAATCGGCTCAAATTGAGCCGTTTAACAACACTAGTTACGATGTTTAAAATTTTTTATCTCAAATTATTTCTTCACATAAATGTCTCACTTGAAATTTATTCAGGATAAATAGTGAAATACCAATATCAAAAATTTTTTATACTACACATCGAGATCATTTCTATTTTTTAATCTTTAAATTGTGGAAGATATTCCTAGATTGTTTGTTAAATAGGTCTATCCATAATTTTTTTAAGGGAATAGTTTAGGCAGCGTATACTTTGTAAATTTTATTTGAACTTTAGGATCGCTCTTTATAGGGATTTGACCGGTTTATTTTAAATATACAATTGGTTTTTTAATCTTTTCTCTCCGATAAATATTAATTCTGGTAATTATTTGTTAAATTAGTTAAGGTATCCTTTTTATTTTAAAATATCCTTTATAATTTTATTCATTTCTTGGAAATCGTGGATAGATGTAAAGATGATTTTAATTTGTTTAAATATATGTATGCAAAACTTATTTCTATTGTGAGGATCCCGCTCCCCCCTCCCACCCCCTTGGATACCTCATTACATTGTCTTTATATCTAATTGGTAATTTTAAAATGAACACATCAAATACAACAAAATTGTTACAACCATTAATATAGAGAGAAATAAGAGTATATATATTTTTTTAAATATATTGATTCTCTTCTAAATCACATCACATTTCCACATCAGACTTGTATTGCCTTTGATATTAATAAATGCTAATATGAATGTTGATATAGGAAATTTATTTACACGAGTTTTTACTAATCGTTTTTATTGATAACTTGCTTTTCAAATCTGAAGTCAAGTAATTATAAGAGAGCTTTATATAATAAAATAAGTTAACTATGGTAATGGGAATCGGGGTTGGGAAATAGCACAATCGCTTGTATTTAAAATATTAAATAACAAATACCTTTTTGTATTTTGTATTTATTTGAATATTTTTGAAAATATTTAGTATTTAATTTTTTAAATACTTAAAAAAAAATAAAAAGTATTTTGTAATTTATTATGATTTCAGACAAATGACACTCAAAATAAAAAAAATTTTTTTTGTCAATTTAGGCCGTTGTTTAATTAATATGACAAATACCTCGATTTTAACCGATTTTTAAAAACGGCTAACTCAATATTTTATTCATAATAATAATAATAAGCAAGCCTACAAAAGTCTAGATATCAATTAATATCGAGGCGTAAGGCAATATTTTCCTGGCTAAAATATTGAGTTAGTCGCTTTTAAAAATCGGCTCAAAACGAACCGTTAAACAACACTAATTTATACTTTAAAAAAAAATAAAATAAAATACTTTTTAATATATCCATAAATAATTCTTAAAATGATAATAAAAAATATCGGTAAAACTTTTTACTCCTCTATCTTATTTCTTGGCTACGATATATATATATATATCTTAGAGGGCAATGTGTTATTTTTTCAACTTTGAATTATTTTCCGAGTGCGTTTTTTTTTTAAAATTTAAATATCTGATTTTATCGGAAATGTATTCCACCTTGTCTGGAATTACTTAACCTATGAATTTCAGACAATTTCGCCATGAACTTTTAAACATAATATAATATATATTACTTTTTTTTAAAAATAGATTTTTCATATAATTTATAAATGACTCAAAAGTTACAGATAAAATCCTCTAACGATTCATAAGAGAGGTATTCTAAACATGCTGGAATACATTTTCGGAAAAAAACGCGCTCAAAAAAATGATTTAAAGTTGAAAAAATAACACATTACCGCCATATATAAACATAAAGAAAAAAATTTATTTTTTATTTTTGATTATATAAAAAGTTATAATTTTTATAAGGATAATAAAGAGAAAAAAAGATTCAAATTTATCACTGGCGAGAGAGGTAAACCTTTACAAAAAATCGGGAAAGAGGATTAAAAATCTTAAAAAAGCTTAACCTCCAGTAGCCCCTCTCGTTAAAGTATAGATTCCAGTTCCGATAAGCCTATCTATCAAGCTATTATGTTAACAGATATTTTCTGTCCACATCCCCTATATAACAATTTTGATGGAAAGTATCTCAGACCTCTATTTCAAAAAATAGATGGGTAAATATTTTACACAGTTGCATTTGTGCAAAACCCTCTTAATTTGAAAAGAAAATGGAACAAGTATATATTCTATTATCTTATATTGGGGATAATTATTTTATTTTAGAAAGCTCTACAAAATGTTAATAACGCTTCTAACAATGCAGAATTACAAGCATGGACTAGGAACAAGGGCATTTTTCCCCGTTTCTATCATAAAACAATGTTCCATTCCTCCTCCGTTCCAGCGTTCCGAAACGTTCCTATAAAAATTTCTAAATATATTTTTAACCCCCCTCTACCTCCCCCCCTCCCTATGAATAAATTATGGCTGTGCCACTGGAGATATCCTTAATATATATGTATTAATTATTTAAGAAGTGTAATATTAATAGAAGATTGTGAAAGAATTCTAGTATATATATATGTTTATGGTATGTTAAGAGTGAATGAAATGGCAGCTTAAGAGCATGAATGTTTGAATTTGGTATGATGTTATCATTGAACCGAAATAAGCTATGATGATTTTTATTGGACAAATATTTTTTTTTAAAAGAACACTATTGGCTAAATTTGACGTTTTTTGAATAGATTAAATCGAAGCAATAATATATTTCTCTAGTCGAATCGCAATGTCCAACACTTATCTGGCCATGGGTGATTTATTTATTATTATCAAAGATAAAAATTTCTATTTTAAAATTTTCATTTAATAAAGAAAAAAAAAATTTTTTTTATAGAAAAACAAAACAATTATTAAATAAATTTTTTAAATATTATTTCCCCTCATTTTAATCTTTTAATCTATTACTTGTTTGCTAATTGTTATTTATACTTTGCTAGTACTGTATAGTTTTATATATGATTAATGATTATTTATTATTAAAAAAAAAATAAAGAATTTACATATATTTTTTTAAGGAACTTCCGTGCCCGGTCTGGAAAAGGTTCCGAATATGCGTTCCGCTTGCGTTTGCATTCCTTAAATTTACTCAAAGATGCGTTCCTCGAACGCTTAGCTCCGTGTCCCTGTTTAAAAAGAAGGTGCATATACTCG